CCTTCTGAACCCCATTCTGAACCCCTTCTGAACCTCACTGACCCCGTTCTAGGCCGCCCGCAGGCCGAGGCCCAAGGCGCACTTGGAGCATAATAAATAAATAAAACGGACATCCCAAGACCCTGGGCTAGGGCTCTCTTGCCCGCAACCCGATGCCAATCATCCGGCCCGCTGGGTGCGCTTCTTAGCTCCCCGGCCCTGGGATGTGCGGCGTCAAGACCGTTCCCGTCAAAGACCGCTGTCGCTGCCGCCGCCGTCGGCAGCGGTGGCAAGCCATATTCTACCTTCATGCCACCTACCTCGCGGTCGTCCCACTCTCGTCGTTCTCTCTCTTGTCGCTTCTTCCTCTGTCGCGTCGCTCTCCTCTGCCTCGTCCTGCGACGCCGCCTGAATGACGATCGGTCGGCTGGCGACCCGTTAGGGTCGACAGTTGAGCTAGGGAGTGTTGCGATGGCCGCCCAAATGCGAACGCAGGAGATAAAATGCTTTGCGGCGACGTTCCGTGGGTAGGATCAAGTCGCCGCTTGCTTTAATAATAGTCTACGCGCGTCCTCGGGGCCAAGGCGCAGTCCAGCTGTCTGAGGGAGAGAGTCTCCCTCGCTGCGCGTTTCGAGCGCAACCTGGCAGACGGAGTCGGGGCGCTCCCGCACGCGTGCCGGTGGGGAGCTCCGCTTGCCGCACGCCTGCTTTTCGCTGCACATGCTGAAGCCGCCATGCTGTGAACCCCCAGGGCCTCCAGGGCTCGCACCTCAACCTCTCACAGACCAGCGCACAGCGCCAGGGAGGTATTTTCTTCTGAAAAACAAGGCTGTGAACAGCGTCTCTTCTCGACCATCTCCAAAAACGGCACGCCCACCCGATCGAGTGAGATCCACGGTAAAAGCCGTGCAGCCGCCCTGCCGCGCCCGCCGCCCAACGCGAGGGCCGGGGCCCCGCGCCGCTGAGCCCGCCCCCCGCCACTCCCTCTCCCCCTCCCCTCCCTCTCCCTCCCCGCCCGCGCGACGCGTGCAGGGGCTCGCGCCACCGCCCGAGCCGCGCCTCCGCCCTCCCCCTGTACTCCGTCGCAGCGCGATCCCCGGCCAGCATGATTGCGTGCCACCGCGCCCGCACCGCGCCCTGCCGCGCCACGCCCGCGCCAGGGCTCCGGGACTGCGCCGCCCGCTCCGCGCTGGAATTGCCCATGCGGCCGCCGCCGCATCCTCAATTTCTCCGCTCATCGGACACACTGTCCGTCCAATCAGGTGCCGAGTCTGAGGTGCGCCTCGCTCTTCATCTCCATCTAGATGCCTCCACCCTTCCAACCCGTCCCCACAAAGAAACGCAAACACAGCCCACTTCCCTGGCGGGGCGCGTACCACGGCTTCGCACGAGTCGCGCGGCCTCCCGAGCGTCGACATCGCCGGCGCACCCTTCATGGCGGTCGGGTCGTCGGCGCCCGAGTTCTTCACGGTGATTCGCCCCGCTCGTGACCGAGTCGGACGACGGCGTCGGCGACATCGTCGCCGCGCCGCCGTCTTCAACTCGATGACCATCGTCGGCCTGACTGGCATCTTTGCCGGGCATCTCGACCAGCAGAGGCTCGCCTGATCGGCATCACGGCGCTCGTGCAGGCGCCCCTTCTCTCCCTCTGGCACAGTCCGCCTCCTCCTCGCCACCGGAGCTCCGCTCGCAACCGCCCCGCCCGCGGCCGGGAGGACCGCGCCGCCATCATCTATTCCGCGCGCCTCGTCAGGCAATGAACGACGCGTCGCCCGTGCGTGCCTGACTACTGCGGCCAGACAATGAACGACATGTACTGCGGCCAGGCAATGAACGACGCGTCGCCGTGCGTGCCTGACTATTGCGGCCAGGCTATGAACGACGATTCGCCCACCGCCGCTTCGTTGCTGCCACTTCCGGGCCACCGCCGCCGTTGTGCCGCCGCCACGGCCGCGCAATGTGCCGCCGCAGCCTTCACCGCCGCCACCGATGCCTTCGCCGCCCTGCCGTCGACACTGCCGCCGCCGCAGCCCCCTTCCTGCTTTCCAATTGCCCTGGGGGCCCCCCCCCCCCCCCACACACACACACACCGCCGCCCTCGCCCTCGCCCTCGCCCGCAAGGCCTCTCTTTATTCTCTGGCCCTCGTCGCCTGCAACACTCGCCCGACATGAACTTTAGCCCGCTCCCCCGTGACGCCGCCCTCCGCAGGCTCAACGTCCGAGCTTTGTCCCCCGTCACTCTCCTCTCATTTCAGACCCCACACATGCGCATAGCTGTTCGCGCTTCCGACCAATGCAGGCGCCTTGCCTCACCCCTCTCACGGGCGGCCCCCATTCTCTCTGCTCTGCAGGACGCGCGCCGAGAGAGGCGCTACATGGTCGACTTCAATGAGAGCGAGGGCGAGTCGGCTTTCTTGGTTGTGAGATCAACAAAGGGCGTCTGGTTCGACAACCCCCACGTGTTCCATCGGAGCCTCGCAAAGGTGCCAATCAGCTTTTGTTTCGCGGAGGGGGCCCAGGTTCAGACCGAGCTCGGGCCAACGGCTTCCGTCAAGGTCGGTGGCTACTTCGCTTCTAGTGCGGAGTATGAGGAGTGGTATCAGCGCCGCCGCGCGAGCCTGACGCTGCCGCCTTCGCTCGGAGCTGAGGTGCGCACGCGCACGCCAGGATCGGCATTGTCCCTGCGGTGTCCCCGTCTCCAAACATTTACGTTTCTCCCTCGCGCAGGCGTGCGGCGTCATCAACGACGTCGTCGTGAAGGAGGAGGCCGTCGCCGGGGAGGCCGCCTCCGAGGAGGCCGTCGTCGCCGAGGATTCCGCCACCGAGGAGGCGACCATCAAGCCCGCCGCCGCCGAGGTGTCCGCCGCCGCGGAGGCAGTCGCCGAGGCGCCCGTCGCCGAGGAGGTCGTCGCCGAGGAGGCTGAGCCGGCCAAGACCGTTTCCAACACGCCCGACCCAGCGGCGAGCGCGCCGCAGCATTCTCTCCTGGCACTCCTCGCTCTCCCACCGGTAATAATCTCCCTTCCCGTGTGCCCCTATCGCGCTTGCAGGACACCACCTACTACCCGGGCCTGCCCACGCCGATGGCGGCGGGGAAGAGCGGGCCCGCGTCGGCCCGCAGCGGCTCCGGACCGGGCTACGTGGACGGCGTCGAGGCTGCAGTCCGCCGGCTGGGCGAGAGCGTCAGCTACCAGGCTACGCCCGCCGACGGCAAGAAGTCGCCGTCGCCGGGAGTCCCCACCTCCGGCGGCATTGCGCCCGTGGCGCCCAAGCCCCTTGGCGCGGTCGCGGGCGCGGGGCTGGCTGAGGCCGAGGCCGCCAAGGAGCGCGAGCACTGGGAGGGGCGGCTCAAGAAGGCGAAGGCCGCGCTCGATCTCATTGCCGAGCAACGGGAGAAGTGGGCGGACTTGCAGTCGCGGCGCTCGGGGAAGTGCCGGCGCAAGGCCATGCGCTGCCGCAACAACCCCAAGTTTGGCAAGGCAAAGGGCAGGCGCAAGTCTGGCAAGGCAAAGGGCCGCGGCCGCCGCCCGAACTGGCGCCGCGAGCCGCAGACCACGTCCGGCAAGGCGCCATTCGCCGCTGGCACGTGCGGCGCCGGCGCTGGCACGTGCGGCGCCGGCGCTGGCACGTGCGGCGCCGGCGCTGGCACATGCGGCGCCGGCGGTCGCGCCGCCCTCAAAGCGGCGGCCAACTGCGTGCAGGGGGGCTACACGAAGGCCGAGGGCGCCTTCCGGTGGCTGCTCCTCGTCTGCATGCCCGCCTTTGGCCACTGCGCGGCCGCCGTGCCTAGCCCGACGGCGGTGGCCTCGGCCTTCTCGTCTGCCGTCGCCTCGGCGTCCTCGGCCTTCTCATCCGGCGTCGCCTCGGCTGCGTCCTCGGCCTTCTCGCCCGCCGTCGCCTCGAAGGCGTCCTCGCTCGTGAGCTGCTCGCCGCTTCTCATGCCCGCCCTCGTGCTCATCCTCCTCGCCATCGCCTGCGGCGCCTCCTGGCCGACCGCGGCGAGCGGAAAGGGGGCGACGTGCTGTGCAGAATACTTCAACATGTCAGGACTGCGCTCTGGTCTTTGTCTACTACTGCTGCCTTGCTTGGTTGCTGCTAACGGTTGCGTTTCCAGTCCGACGCCAACGGCGCCTTCAAGCTTCGAGCACAGATGGTGGAAGGGGGGAACAGGCAGCACCGGCTCTTTTACCGACGTGAAAATCGCGGACCACGATCCGTGTGATCCATGTGTAGCAACCAAGAATGCTAAGAGTTGCCCATCAGCCATGTCATATCCACGATTTGCTTCGAGGGCTGCTCGAAACCACTCTCTCTTCAGCATTTTCCGGCAGCACTACATGTCTTATGGTTACGCTGGCATCGAGGTGTGTGGGCCATATCCCTACAACAATGAACGAGGTTCTCAGAAGCTGCTCAACTTGCTTCTTTTGCACGTGCCCAATTTTCTCCGATGGCTGCCCACCATCGAGCGCATGGATCAGATAGGCAGTGGAACCACATTCTTGCTTAGCCATGCAAGTGGCACAGCCCGTGTGTCTGGCACCCTCCTTCGCTACTTCAAGTTTGCAACGGATCTGAAGGCACTATTTGGTGATCTAAAGGGTAAGCATCTCATCGAGATCGGTGTCGGCTTTGGCGGGCAGGCAGCTGCGATAGCTCATGTTTTTCCAGAGCTGGGCTCGTACACTCTGCTCGATCTGCCTGAACCGCTCCGCCTTGCTCAGACTTACCTTAAGCACGCAGGGCCATCAACGCCCACAGACTTTTACTTCCTCAACGCAAACCCATGCAACGAATCCCTCACCGATCAGCCATGGAACTTTCAGCCGTCGAAGTATGACCTTGTCTTCTCGACGCATGCCTTTCAAGAACTTCCGATGGCAGTGAAGCAGCTCTATGGCGATAAGGTACTGAGGGGGACACCTCGCGGTTTCATGACTGACTACGCAAGGAGTGGCCACACAGCCTTACCAGAATTAATCGCAAAGGGAAATGGTGATGCAGTGCGACGCAACATGTTGGTCTTCTCCGATGTGATGAACCTCTACCGGTTTACCCCTAAGTTCGAAAGAGATCGCTTCGAAGCGATAGTCGCTTGGGGGGTGAGCACCAGCGGTTACTATCCAGGCACTGCTTTGGATGCTGCGGTGCAGAAACTTACAGCAGCGTCAACGTACCACGAGAGGTACAAACAAGTGCAGATCGGCGGCGACAACTAGGTGTGCAGCCAGCCGCTTCACCCTCACGAGACTCAATGCCCGTGACCTTGACCCTGCACCAGTAGGCGACCGCCGACTGAGGGTGCCGAAAAATGCCTTCAGTGGCCACACCCTCCGCCTCATCCTGGTGCCAAACCCTAGACCGGTGAAAGTCCGGCGCAAGCGCAGGTAAACGAGTGCGCGGCCCAGGCTACTAGATCCATGACGTGGAACGCCACGGTCCTGTGCTCATTACCAGGATGGCATGTGCGCGCTCGGCGCGGGCTCGGATGCGTGTACACGCGTCTGAGAACGCGTTGGCTCGCAAACGGGATGCAACGGACGATAAATCGGTACTGTCCCATGACTGTACCATTGACGTGGATGGGAGGGGCGGGGGGTTCGGCGCTGGATCGGGAGCTTCGCTTCCGTGTTCGCGTCCAACCAATGAATCTTTGGGCGATCGCCTTGAAGCGCGCCTGTGGCGGTAGCGCCCTCACTCGGGGATCACGGGACATCTTCTTCACAAAACGTGCATACGCGTTCAGGGGACTCTTCCTTAGGGTTGCCTAACGTTAATTTGGGGCCTAACAGTTGCGCTATTGTTGGCTGAAATCCTCAGCGTTGTTCAAGTGTTCACCCCAACCCATGCTGTTACTGTTTTGTTACTGTGGTCGCCGCACGCTGCGGCCACGAGCGGGTGGTCGAGCTGCTGCTTCAGCACGGCGCGAAGATCGACCTGCAGAACAGCGACGGCGGCACCGCGCTGATGCTCGCTGCCCAGGAGGGCCACGAGCGAGTGGTCGAGCTGTTGCTTCAGCGCGGCGCGGAGATCGACTTGCAGGACAGCAAGGGGTAAACCGGTAGAGGTTCATCACATCGGAGAAGACCAACATGTTGCGTCGCACTGCATCACCATTTCCCTTTGCGATTAATTCTGGTAAGGCTGTGTGGCCACTCCTTGCGTAGTCAGTCATGAAACCGCGAGGTGTCCCCCTCAGTACCTGGCGGCGGGCTTGATGGTCGCCTCCTCGGTGGCGGAATCCTCGGCGACGACGGCCTCCTCGGAGGCGGCCTCCCCGGCGACGGCCTCCTCCTTCACGACGACGTCGTTGTTGACGCCGCACGCCTGCGCGAGGGAGAAACGTAAATGTTTGGAGACGGGGACACCGCAGGGACAATGCCGATCCTGGCGTGCGCGTGCGCACCTCAGCTCCGAGCGAAGGCGGCAGCGTCAGGCTCGCGCGGCGGCGCTGATACCACTCCTCATACTCCGCACTAGAAGCGAAGTAGCCACCGACCTTGACGGAAGCCGTTGGCCCGAGCTCGGTCTGAACCTGGGCCCCCTCCGCGAAACAAAAGCTGATTGGCACCTTTGCGAGGCTCCGATGGAACACGTGGGGGTTGTCGAACCAGACGCCCTTTGTTGATCTCACAACCAAGAAAGCCGACTCGCCCTCGCTCTCATTGAAGTCGACCATGTAGCGCCTCTCTCGGCGCGCGTCCTGCAGAGCAGAGAGAATGGGGGCCGCCCGTGAGAGGGGTGAGGCAAGGCGCCTGCATTGGTCGGAAGCGCGAACAGCTGGGTGGAGGGAGCGGCGAGGGCGCTGCGGCCGGCACCTTCTCCGGACACGGCCCGCCGCCCTTCATGAGAGCTGAGAGCCCGTCCTCGATGCGGGGACGAGCCCGAAGAGCGCCGCGTAGGGCTTCTCGCGCACACATGGCCGGGTCGAACGCCGCGTCGACCGGAGCGGCGATGACGGCGGTCGGGTCGATGTCGAGGACGGGCCGAGACGTGACAGTGACAGCGCGAACGCCCTGTGCCGCCGGGGAGCCGGTGCGTCATTGAAGTGCTTGAATGGGAGGCACCCACGGGGCGGTAACGCAGCGGCGCACCGCACTCTCGTCCGCGATGTCCGTGTAGCACTCGGTGGTCGCCTGCGACAAGCCGCCGCGGTGCGGTTGTAGGCCTTCGAGCAGGTACGCGCAGTCGGTACGCCGACCTCGTACTGCGAGGGAAGCGGCAGCGACCGAGGAGGCGACGGTGAAGTGGGCTGCCGGCATGCCGGAGATGGCGACGCGGGCCTGCGCGAGGGCGAGGAGAAGGGTGGAGGCAGGCGGGAAGGCGGGCGGGCGGAGGGGGGGAAGACGATCTGGAGGGGGGAAGGGGGGGGACCTCGTACTGCGAGGGAAGCGGCAGCGACCGAGGATGACGATGATGACGATGGTGATGATGGTGATGAGGGACTCGTACCAACCATTCTTCTTGTCGATGACGGAATCGGCGGTGGAGAAGTCGGAGGTGAGCGCGGAGAGACCCGAGGCGCGACCGCCGCACGCAGCGAACAAAGAGCTGGTCCGCGATGTAGCAGATGTTGTCCGGCACGGAGAGCGTCGTCGCCTACACAAGCAGGGGCGGGGCGTCAGAGTGGGGGAGGGGGTGGAGGGAGGGTCCTTTTGCCTCGTCCGGGGCGAAGCAGCACCTACGGGAAGGTTCCGAGAAAGTTCAAGGGCCCACCTTCTGGAAGGTTCCGGGAAGGTTCCGGGCAGGCCACGGTGTCGGTGCACACAGAGAGCGTGCGCGAGCTGCGCGCCTGCTCGAGGGATGGGCTCTCCACCCCTACGAGCCTCATGAGCAGCGCGGGGTTGCCCGAGCATTCGAGGGATGGGATGAATGGGCAGCAGCCTGCGTCAAGACGATCAAGGGGAGGATGTTGACGACGACGATGAAGAAGAAGGTGACGTTGTTGATGATGATGTTGACGAGGGTGGCGATGAGGATGGTGACAAGGATGGTGATGAGGATG